AAAATCGGATCGGATCCGGATATTTGGATATCTGATCCGAAAATTCGGATCAGATAATATCCGATATCCGATAATGCACACCCCTAACCGTAACTACCAATTTTTTTCATAGAAAATGATGAGTTCGGAACATAATAAATAGTCAGATTACCATTTTATAACTTTAAATAGTCGCGGGACTTATCAAAACAACTCTCTATTGTCGGAGGATAATTTTATAATTTTTAATAGTCGAGAGATTGAATAAAGTAGTACCCTATAAGTGGAGAACATTTGCGTACTTTACGCATAAATGAAATGACATAACTTGTTTTTCTTCCCTCCTAATTTCAAAACTAATACGAACCTAATAAAATATTTACATAGAAAGGATTAAAAAAACAATTGAATGAGCTAAGGCTCCTCTCATCACCTTTGTACTTTAATCCCTACGAGTCACCTAAAAAGTTGGGTAAGAATGCAAATTCCATCATCTTCTTTGTCACTTTCTTGTAAATAGTAAAAATTTCTGTACCTTATAAAATATATCCATTCTCACCTAAAACAAAAATACTAATTTTACAAATTACTGTGAAGTTAAACAAACTTTTAACCCTTTTTCGTAATGTAATGGTTAATTCATAAATTTAGGAACACATCCAAAAGGTAAGTCAATATGTTAAATACCTAAAATCTTTTTTTAATTAATCATTGATATTTGATCTATTGACCAACTAATCCAGATCGGGTATTGCAGAGGCGAGGGCGACCCTCCCAACCCAATTTGCTCCATTCGCAAACGTCAGGATTCGAACTCCCGACCTTTGCTTAAGGAACCTAGTACCTCATCCCACCAGACCAACTGGTTGTTGGTACCTAAGATCTTATTCTAATTATACCATTGAATTTTAATTCAGTTGGCATTTTTCGTCACCACATATTTTTATCCAATTTTTCAGTACTTTAAATAAATTATCCGATCCAAAAGTTCGGGTTACTCTTATTTTTTTTCACATATATATTAAATAAATTCTTTTTTGCCAATCCTAGACCCTCTCAAAACATGGCATTGGTATGTTCTTTTCCATCAAATTTTCATACTGATTTTGTATCAAGTTTTGGTAATTTTTCCAAACAAATTTTCTCAGGTAAAACCAGATGAAAATGTCAATTACCAAGAGGAGTTCATCACAAATTCACATGGATTAAAGCTCTTCACATGCAAATGGGTTCCAAAGAGAGATGAACCCAAAGCTTTGATCTTCATCTGCCATGGCTATGCCATGGAATGTAGCATCACCATGAGCAGTATGTCATTAAAAAACTTTACGAAAGTCTCGATTTTTATATCGGGTTTTTCGATCTTTATATCGGAGTTTGAACGATGAATCTGTGTGTTACATTAGGTACTGCAATAAGGTTTGTTAAAGAAGGATATGCAGTTTATGGTATAGATTATCAAGGGCATGGGAAATCATCTGGACTGCATGGATACATTGAAGATTTTGATTCTATTGTGCATGATTGTAGTGTTCATTTCTCAAGTATCTGTGGTGAGTTCCACATTTCCTCTCCAATAATTTACATTGCTCGGATTTTTCATTTTCTTGTAATTCGTCTGAATAATATATGGTCGGACTTAGACAAGACAGAAACAAAAAAGTTAATTACGTCACGCATCCTCAAATTATGATCATCTTTTTTTAAAAAATTAATTTTATTCAAAACTATGACCCTCGTTCTAAATTAGTCCTCAAACTTTTGTATATTACAATTTTATCCTCAAACTATGACCCTCATCCTGAATCGGTTCCAAAACTTTTGAACATTTCAATTTTATCCCTAACTCTTGGTGTATACTAATCACATCCATGTTAATAAAACCATTAGACAAAGCTAAATTATTATATGTTCGAGAAAAAATTAGGTTAAACTATGGTTGGAACTAATTACACATTTGGATGAATTCGATGATAGAGTTGGAAGATTAAAACAATTGGTGATCAATTTAGAATGAGAGTCGTATTATTTTCAATGAATATATCAGTATGCTCTTATACTGAATGTATAACTTGATACGAGTATTAAGTAAAGAAAATTATGAAATTCGATGAAATATTGAATATACTCGTATCGGATGAATATTTATATTATATATATTGTGAGGTTTGTGTTAGAGAACGAAGAGAACAAAGGGAAGATGAGATTTTTGGTAGGGGAATCCATGGGAGGAGCCGTTGCTCTTCTTCTACACAAAAAGATGCCTGACTACTGGCACGGCGCCGTTTTGGTTGCCCCCATGTGTAAGGTACGTGTTTGCTCATGCGCGTGAGATGGAAAATTTACAAACATGTTTTCGATTTGGTCCTCCTGCAAATCTGGATCTTTTAACATGCTTTTTAGGGTAAATTACAAAATTGGTAACTTAACTTTAATCTCTCTCCTATTTCACTCAGTATACATTCAATATTTTTTATTTCCTCATTGAACTTAATGCATTGGGTTTTTTTGTTCACTCGGTCATTAAATAGTTAACGGCGTTAAAATAGACTGTTATATAGATGCAAAACGACGTCATTTTGGTTAAAATTTTATTTTTTTCAAAACGGCGTCGTTTTTAACTCCGTTAACTATTTAACGGCGAAGTGACCAAAATATGAAAGAGAGTAAAATTCAGTGACTAAAAAATTCAATGTATTAAGTTCAGTGAGGAAATTGAAAACTTTAAAAGTTCACTGAGTAAAATAGGAGAGAGTAAAGTTTACTGAAGAAAATTGTAATTTACCCTTTTTTAACAAACATTAAGGGTTGATGTACAAATCGGTATTCAGATTTGCCATTCTTTTAATATGGTACGTGTAATTTTCATTAAATTTGGTATTTGATTTTTTCGGTTTTTTTAATTTGGTACCCTCCTGGAAAAAAACTTTTAGATTTAAATACATCTTAGGTCCTTAAATGTTTTGAAACTATGTAAACTAAACTCTGACACCTTAAATTTTAGGGTTTAATTGCTTTTTAAGCCCCTATTAGTTTTCAACTTAGGTAAGTTAAGCTCTGATCCCCTATCGTTCGGTTTGAATAATTCTGACCTCCTATCAATTTTGGCATTATAAAAAATAAGCAATACCCTAATTATTTTTGTTTAAATACTTCTTAGAACCCTGTCAGTTTCATATTTAAACAAATTAAACCCTCTATTTTAAATTTGTTAGATAAAATTTACTAATTTATATGAATTAATTATCCCCTTTTTTTGGTACAATTAATTATCCCTTAACGTAATATGGATTTTTGTTTGTTTATGTTTATGTTTTGTATTTATTTATTTATTTAATTAATTAATAATGTATTAATTAAGAAAAACAGATAGCAGATGAAATGAAACCACCTGCAGCAGTGACTTATGTTCTCAGAGGGGTTAGCCGGTTGGTCCCAACTTGGAAATCATTCAATTTGACCCAAGACATTATTGATCTTGCCTTTAAACGACTGCTGAGAGGCAAGCCGTGAAGTGAAGTCTGCTGCTGAAATGGTTCGGTTTTGGAACTTGGAAGAAACCAAATAACTCGGACCGGGTTTTTTTTACGGTTTTCTGGCCCACGAAGTCTTTGGGTAAATTACATGTTTAGTACTTAAACTATAAGTTTTAGTCCGTTTTAGTACTTAAACTTTCAATTTTCAACCATACCTAAGGTTTCGTTTTTGTTTCATTTTAGTACAGCACCGTTAAAAACTTTCATTTTTGTTTCATTTTAGTACCTCCGTTCAAAATTTAAAGTTAAGTTTTGAAAAAATTGAAAGTTTAGGTACTAAGACGGACCAAAACTAATAGTTTAAGTATTAAACGCGTTAAATTTTTAACGGTAGGGTACCAAAATCAAATGAAAACTAAACGTTAGGTATGATTTGGGAAAAATGAAAGTTTAGGTACTAAAACGAACTAAAACTGATAATTTATGTACTAAATACGTATTTGCCTTTATAGATAGAATATAATATGTTTCCTATATAATATATAATCTATTTATAAACATAATATAAATTTTTAAATTAATATTTGATCAACTAATATAATAAATTTTTAAATATATATTATTTATATTATTATTGTCACACGACATATGACTCGTCGTAGAGTTATAAACGAGTTAAATTGAATTCAAGTATTGTTGAGCTCAATTTGATTAGAAAATTTGTGAGTTTAAGACTATTAAATTTAATTCAAACTCGAACCAAAAGTTGAAATCTACTCGACTCGAATTTGAAAAGACTCAAACTTCGAATATTCTCAGACTTAGCTTAATTGAAGCTTGAACTTGAGCTCGATTCAAGTTCAAAAATAAACATTAAATACATGAAAACCTGATAATATATTTAAAAAAAATGTCATATAAATCTCAATATTATTAATAATTTAATTTTAAAAAAATATTTTTTGGTAAAATACATAATGATCCCTCAATTATATTTTTTGAGCCCCAACAATTAAAAGTTACAATGTAATCCTCCGACTATAGGATATTGTTTCTTTTAGTCTCAAACTATTAAAAGTTACAAAACGGTCACATCACTATTTATATACTCCAAACTCGTCATTTTTCGTTAAAAATGATGACATGTTGAACTTGATGTTAAATTTCTGACTTTGATATGATAAAATATGATCTCGGAATCTCAAACGATTATCATATATCAATCAGCATGTTAACATTCAACTCATAGCATGTTAACATTCAACTCATATGACTGCCATTTAAAACAAAAGACAAATTTGAAATATATAAATAGTCAGATGATAATTTTGTAACTTTTAATAGTCAAGAAACTCAACAAAACAACACCTTATAGTCGAAAACTATTTCATAACTTTTAATTATCGAGAAACTCAACAAAACAATATCCTATAATTGAAAACAATTTGTATACTTTATCTTATTTGTTCAATTTGCTCACTTGTTTTTAAAAATATCAAATAACTCATTTTAATTTCGTTAATAATTAGAGTTAAGTCCATTCAAATTGTGTATTAATCAAATTTTAACCTAGTCAAACTCGAATAACTTATGATCTATCTTGTCTCATTTAGAGACGTATGTCTCGGACTTCAGTGTTATAAAAAGTAGAACGAAAGTTCGAATACTAAATTAAAAAAAAAACCTTTAGATACCAAATTAAGAAAATATGAGAATTTTCATATGCATATTTAAGCCTTTTAAAATCAGTCCTTTTAAGTCGCAGCAAGAGGAGGGCATTAGGAATCAATCTCTATCTATGAATTAACAAACAAATTCATAAGATACTCAAGTTACAAACTGCAACTGCAACAGCAACAGCAACAAATACTCAAATTCTGCAGCAACTTAACCACTGGTTTTTGCCTCAAAACCACTAGCCCGCCTTGCATTCCGACATGCTAAAGCCTTTTTAGCCGCGATCGGTAACCCACAGTCCGGGTGAAAGACATGTAAACAAAGGACCTACTCTCGAGTGATGATCACAATAGACGGAAACTAACTATTATTGACTAATAGTGGTTCAAGCGATGATAATCTAAACTTGATTACATAAAATAAACCAAACAGGAGGGGGAACTGAAGCTACCTTAAACTTAGATGCCATCAGTCATCTCAAATGATCTTATTTCGGGCTTCTTCAAGTTTCTTCAGTATCTCCCCAGGAGTACGATCCAACTCATCGGCAATTTTTCTCTGCAGATCCAGAGGTAGTGTAGGAAACTGCTCGCACAAATCACCATCGATCACATCCTGCAAGATCAATTCAAGGTTGTAAAACCTGAAGTAATATGTAAAAATTGGGGCTATAGCCATCAAGTTCAGTCATAGACGACAGTGAGAGTATGATTTCATAAAGAAATGATTCAATTAAATGTACAAGGAAGCAGGAGGTTCACCTTGACAGGGAAATAAGCAGATCTATAAGCCATATGATCTCGTCCGCACAACGGAGGGTGTTCTTGTCTCATATGCATCTCTAGGTGAGAAAAAAAGTCAACATCGTCACGGGAAGTGAATGGGAGAAATGCCCCCAAGCTCCCCATTACCGTCCCATAAAGAACACACTCTCCGCCACCTGGTATAAGAGATGCCTTCTGCAAGCTAGTTACCACATCTCCGACGTGAAACTGAACTATCTCCTCTACCTTGTTAGGAGCTCCATTGAGCCTCCCTTGTTCCCATTTTATCTTCCCACCAGTTGGATCTTCCTCTATTTCATCCGATACATCTTGCGGTAGCCGCACAAAATAGACATTCCCAAACTTGTCTGCGCCAGCCATGGTGTCAAAATCCATATGGTATGATGCAGTAAGCCATCTTGGAACAACATCATCGGCAAATATATACAGTTGATTTTCATCCCTCCTATACTTGCAAAAATGGAAAGACTGCAATAAAGGACAATATTTATCATCGGTCTGAGAAAAATTGACAAAGAAAGCAAAACAGTGGAATCATAAAATCGAAGTGGACTGCAGTTTAAGAACCAAGAGAGCTCGAAAAAGACCTTGCAAATCCTTCTTACTTTCAGTCATAACCTATATATTAAATTGGTTGATCAATTTTACCAAATTCACATACAAGCCAAGCATTAAATATGAATACATTAATACATGTAAGAAAAGTAAAACCCACAAAGTAAAAAGAGAAAGATTTGAGAATCCAGAAAAACTCAAAAACCATACCTCTTGGATATCCCCAACATATATTCTATCACGATAAGTTTGGATAGAGATAATAGTGTTGGGGAAAAGCTTATTCTCACATTTCCTAAGCAGTCTCTTTTTCCCCAAATCATATAATCGGAGCACAGATCCTATCCCAGCAAGTAATCTTCCCTGAAACTGGCATAAAGCAAGAGGAACACCTTCCACTTGTGTCTTGTGCAGAAGTTCAAGTGATCTGCCATCTTCTAGAAACCTATAAATATGGATGAATCCCGCAACCAAGCTTCTTTTGGGCCAAAACTGGAGACCCTTGGCTGTGCCAACAGCCAGGAGAGTTCCATACTCTTTATCATGGAAATTCACAGTACATACACTGAAAGCAGCTTCGTTGTCCTGAAGCTCCAAAAGGCAAGTTGTGGTAGCTGTCCTTGGATCAAGAACTCTAATGCAAGAAACCCACTTGTTCGACTCTGCCTTTGGATAACCATACTGCTCATCAGAGAGGGGATCCTCTTTGTCCTCATCATCCCCGCCATTTTCCATTTGGTTCATATTACCATTGCCATTTTCTCCCATTCCAGCAGCCTCAAAGCATTCCTTTCTTGCAGCTTCACGCTCTTCTGCAGTATATGATCCTTGGTCACTCTCAATAATTACCAACAATTTCCGCTTCGGTTGCAAAACAAACCTCCTAGGAGTATATCTCAAAGGAATAGCAGTCTCATTGAAGGTTTCTCCAAGACGTTCAATGGTGAAAACTCTCAATGCATCCCCAGCCACGGCAACAACACCTTCGGCACACTGATCAGATGAAAATGAGGCTGCAAATTCAAGTGTCTCATAAGAAAGGGGTGTTAACAGAAAATGCCCTTGGTGAATATAACCAAGCCACGGTCGACTAGACAAGCAAAGCATTGCAGGTCGGCCTCTTACTTTAACAGAGAACAACTTTGGGGCTCTCAGCCCTAAGAACCGTGAACGGGAATCAGAAAGTTGCCCGGTAATCATATCCACTACTGTCCGAAATAGAACTCCATTCTGCAGACCAGCATTGAGGAAAAGATTGGCAGGATGATCAGCACCATCCTCCCCGCCAACCGATGCCTTAACTTCAAGGAAAAGAAGAGACTCGGGAGGTGAAGATACACTCTGAACACTCAGAACCTGCATACAATCATCAGGATCCAAAGATAATATACGGATTGTATTATCATACGAACCAACAGCAAGAAAGCGGGACCTCTGTCTTCCTTCAGGAACAGGGGCAATGTCCAGACATGCCACATCTCCAGACATTTCATGCTTCTCCACTTCCATCAATTGGCCGGTCATATCCACCTCAAAGTATATGAGCTCACCTCCACTCAGTGCAATAACCACTTGAAGCCCATTTGAGCCGACTTTAACGATTGTCCTTTTCCCAGGAGTTCTCCACTCATTAATACGTCCATCTTCCCTTATATGCCTAATACCATTTGGGTGAACTTGCATAAGTGAATCATCACCAATCAATGAAACAGCAAGAGAGGGAGTAGTATCAAGAAAACCACTATCACTAACTTCTTCAACTGTTTCACCAATGGAAAGAACAAGAGTCGCATTGGCAAACGACACGACAATGTATGCATCGAAGGCATCAGTAACATTTTTCTTTACCGTCCACACAGCACTTGGTACACCAGGAAGTTGTGAGACAGCCATCTCACTGATGGCCAAACCAGGCCTTAGTATCCTCAATGACGAACGAGGACCACGTCCACAGAGTGAATATATCTGAGGTGTTTCCTCCTCAAAGAGATTAGCAATTTTCATATCCATTATTGGCATCAGACTCTCAGCTTGGTCAATCCTAACGAGATTCTTAAGCCCTCTTGGCTGGAAAAACACTGGCTGGAAACCTTCTTCTGTTTCCATCAATGTAGATGATGATGATTCAACATCAGGGTCATCTCCAATAGCCTGAAACTGATACAAGGCGTGATTGCCAAACTCCGAAGCTGCAAATAGAAAACCAGTTTTCAACACACACATTGAAGCCGTAACCGGAATCGTATCAAAATACTTGATTTTCAATTCCGTAACTCCATCATTTCCATGTTCCAACGTAACCTTAAAAATATCCCCATATTCTGTCTGCAAAAGAAAGAAGAACATCGACTTTTGCTTATGTGTAGCTGCAGACACAATCAAAACACCACGTTCTTCTGGCAAATCAGCACGTCTAGGAATCACTGCTCTAATGTCTGGATGTCCTTGATTCTTATAAATAACAAAATTCTCAGCACAAACTAAAACCCCACTCGGCCCATCACCACCACCAGGAACTGTGACCAACATGTTCGCCCCATTATCAACCTGCTCCGACCACTTCCTCGACACATGGTTAAGCCCTAAATCAAGTTCATAAAAAGTCAAATGCTTCTGTGCCTCACCAGCAGCCACCCCCGTAGAATCCTGATCCGCCTCTGAGTAATCCAACTCGATTGCAGCGAAAATAGGGTTATCAAATCCACAATCAACCCCACAGATCGAGTAAACTATCGTATGCGACTTATGAGCTTCTAAAGGCGAAGAAATGGTTAACCTAGCAGCAGTATCTCTATTCAAAACATAAACCAACTTCTGCTTCTCACAAGCACCAATCATTACAGCTCTTCCTTTCGGGTCAATGGCTAAGTATTGACCCGGGACAATCCGTCGACACCCAGATTTCCCAAAAGTTTCTTGGTGAACTTTATCAAAGACATTCTTCTCTTTATTGTATTCAAGTATAACAATCCGACCCGAATCAGACCCTACTACAATATAGTCCTTTTGAGCTCCGGTTAGCCGGAACTGAGCTAGAGAACGTATGCAGCCAAATATTTCGACGGAGTGAAGCGTTTGGAGCTTACCGAGTTCGTCGGGTCGGAGAAGGGAAAGGATCTTGCCACGGGCGACGACAATTTCTTGGATTTTACCGCCGGAGAAGTTTCCGTTTATGGCGGAAACGATGCCGGTGGCTTGATGAAGAGTTAAATTGTAGAGATACATCGGTTGTTAGGGTTTTTGAGATTTAGAAAGGGGGTTTGGGTTGCTGTTTTAAAAGTGGTTCATTCGAAGCTCGTGACAGTGAGTGAAAGTAAACTGAGAAATGAAAATAATTGGGAATTTTCTTGCGGTAAAAGTTCAAACAATAATCGGAATAGAAACCCTAAAATACAAATCGAAGGAGATGCCCAAATTCATTTGAAGTTTATCCCAACTCTTTATTATACCGTCTAAAACGGGGAAGCCTCACGCAACAAAAGAAGGTGTCAGAAATGTTATTATTTTTTAATATTTACGGTAAAAGACTATTAAAATATTATTATTATTATTAAAAATATTATTATTGAGTGTTTTATTGAATTTATTAATATATCCGATAAAACGTTACTTAAAATATTATTTTTTTATCGAAAATGTTAATATTGAGTACTTTACCGGAAATATTAAAAAATATTTTAGGTAAAAAATAATGTTTTAAGTAATTTTTACAGGAAATATAAAAAAATAACATTTTCGATAGTAACCGTATATTAAGACTGTCGTACGATAGAATTTCTTGTCTAAAACAAAAACAACTTAACAATAAAATGGTCTTTTTTACTAACAAAATAACAACAACAACACCAACTTTAATCATTCAATTCACATTTAAATTTATTATTGACGAGGAAGTAAATTTTGTGATAAATAAATTGTTGTTGTTTCTTGAAGACCTGAATTCGAACATCATGAATGTTACGGGTGTGAGCGTTTAACGTAGGGATGTGCATGAGATCCGAATCTAACGGGTTCCAACTCGACCCAACCCGATCAGTTCGGATATTTTTTAAATATTATGGGTTCGGGACGGGTCGGATCAAGTTTGAGTTTAGGGTGAAAATAGTTAACCCCACCTGAAAATAAAATTGTAATTTTACCTTATATATTTAGGCATAATTGTAATAATACACTTCTATATATTGTTTTCTTTCAATTAAATCCCTATTTTTATTGAATAAAAATAATATTTTTTAATAAATATATTATTTCGGGTCAGGTTTGGATTTTATCTCAAAAAATTAGGTCAGTTTGGATCGGGTGGAAGGTGTATATTTTTCGGGTGAGGTCGGGTGGACAGAAAATCCGACCCAACCCGACCCATACCCATCTCTAGTCCAATATCACGAGGTTGATAATTATCTTTACATAGATATCGTCTTCTACTAACTCCAAATTTATAAAAAAAAAATATTATTGATGAGATATATTTATTTTTATTATGTAAAAATAAAGATTTAATTAAAAAGAGAGAGAATTATTATTGTAATTACTTTTAAATGTACAACGAATAATTATATTATTATTTCGTGTTGAATATTTTTATCTTAAACTAACATAAACTTGACTCGAATCTATTTTTTTCTAAAGAAAATTGATTTCATAGGATTTGTCGAAACTTTTGAGTGTAGATCTCATGTCCATTTATAAATGAAACAAATATTTGGTCACTTTAAGTGCAAAAAGTACCCATTAATCCTCCATTCAATGGCCAATCTTCCATGCTTGTTAATCTTCTTCATCACCATCGTCAATAACTCATCCTCGTCTGGGAATCTCGAAAACCCATCGTCGAATCATCATCACCATCACGGTAAACATCACAAGATCTCATTTTCCATGCCGAATTTGCTCAACATTTCTCGACCGCCATCTCCACAACTCACAAGCCAACTCCCATTTTCAAAGCCCTTAGGCCTTTTCCCACCTAATAAAGGCATCCCGATCCGCGAACCCGACCCGAAAGTTCGTCGACTAGAACGCTCGATATTCCGAACCTCGGATTGTATTTCCCGGCTAGGGCTACTCTTCAGGAGCTGGAATTCGGCGCGGCGGCGACCATTAGGAAAAGCACAAGGGGTGTATGTTGCAAGTTCCGAAGTTGATGCTGGCCACATGATGGCAATGACTACGGTTTTCGCGGATGGCGGGTTTAAAGACGGGTTACGGTTTTTCGGGTTACACCGGAGAGATGTGTCGGAGTCGCATATTGCTGTCATTGGTGGTACCGGGAAATATGCCGGTGCAAACGGCTATGCAACAGTTAAAGTTGTGAAACAAGGAGTTAACATGCTTCTTTTGTTCAATGTTCATCTCAGTTAATAGCTAAGAAGTAACAAAAATAAGACTCAACGTTATCTTGATGAACTGTTTTTTATTATAAAAAGAAATCAAAGAATTCGAAAGTTAATTTATTTTATACATACAATATCTTACGATAAAATTTAAATCTCAACATTTACGATTATCGTTCCGAAATCTTTCCTTCTAAATTGAATTATAAATTGCAGTTAAAAAAAGAAATTAATATTTATATTTTATATATTAAAAAGTTCATATCTCGTGTTATATTCGAATATACATCGATTTTTTTTTAAAGTAAAATTTATCGTAAAAATAAACGAATACGAACACAATAAATTATCATAAAACAAATTCGTATCGAAGACGTATCAAAATTCAGATCGAATAAAATAACATAAACAACAATTCCATGCTGTTTTGTATTAAGGTTGGGTTGGTGAGGAAGAGTCATACCATACCAACTCCATACTCTTTATGAGACAGTATTTGTCGTTCTATCATATCATTAGAACTAGGTTTTTTCCAACCAAAACACATCTCAAGAGAAAAGGGTTTGAACAACTTCATATCATCAAATCCACTCTCTTTTTTTATATATAGATATATATCGGGTCGGATCAGATATGAGTTTTTATCTCAAAAATCAGATTGAGTGGAATTTTTCTAAATTCGAGTCAAGTTAGATGACGAGTGGTAAGGTACTATATTAGAATCATATTCGAATGAGTCAAAAACTCAACCCAATCTGACTCATATCTAGGGATGGCAACAGGTTGGGTTAGGCTCGAAAATATGTATCATCCATCTGAATCCGACCCGACCCAAAAATCTTATAACCTCCAACCGACCCGACTCGAAAAATATATATCTTACACCCGACTCCGACCCGGCCCGATATAAAAATAAGGATTTAATTAAATAATAATAATTTTTTAAAAAATTACATTATTATCCTCATGTCAGATCGGAGTCTTTTCTACCTCCACTTGAACCCGACCCGACATTGGCCTTTAAAAAATCTGACCCGAAATGAACCCGAACTTTTTTTTATAAAAAATCCGACCTTATCAGATCGGATAAGGTCAGAACTCATCGAATTCGGGTTAAATTCCATCCTACTCATATCGTCCTTAATCATATATTAGAAATAGGTTTTTCTAACCAAAAACACTTCTCAATATAAAAGAGTTTGAACTACTTCATATCAACAAATCCACTTTCTCATTTATATATATATATATATATATATATGTATGTATGTATGTATATATATATTGGCAAGTGAAGATCTCTCCTTCTATCCATCAACTAGTCTTCTTCTTTGCTAAAACAATCTTAAAAATGGCTAAAGCTTTCAAGGCCTTCATCTATTTACAATTGCTGGTTATCACCCTCACTTGTACCAATTCAACAAGAGTCCTTGATGAGGTGGATGCACAACCGCAAGTCGTCGACGACGTACCTCAGCCTGCTGGTCAAGTGGTCACTGCGGCCACCCCAAGCGGCCCGGACGACGACGTTGTTGATCCACCGCTCCCGGAATCTCCTGCTGCAGTGGCTGCCCCTGACGATGATGAGGCACGGGTAGCTACTCCTGCAGCACCGATATCCGGTCCCGGAGCTTCGACCGCGGATGCGACAAGTGCCACGGCCGGAAACCCTGGGACACATGAGCCTATATTGTCCTTTTTCATGCATGACATCCTAGGTGGATCACATCCATCGGCCAGGGTGGTGACCGGTGTGATCGCTAACTCGGACATCAATGGCATACCGTTCTCCAAGACCAACAACGACCTTTTCCCGGTAGAAGGCGCTGCCCCACTTCTAACTGGCGCGAACGTTAACAACATCAACAACTTCAACAACCTTATTAACCCCAACAACGTGCCTTTCCTATCAGGCCTAACCGGTGCACAAACCAGCGCTATCCTACAAAACACCGGCGACAACGACAACGTTCTCAACTCCGGCAGCCAACCTTTCGTCACCGCAGGAAACCTCCCACCCGGCACTCTCCAGAGGCTCATGTTCGGTACCATAACCGTCATCGACGATGAACTAACCGAAGCGCACGAGTTAGGATCAACTGTACTAGGCAGGGCACAAGGGTTCTATTTGGCTAGCTCATTAGATGGTAACAGCCAAACCATTGCCCTGACAGTCATGTTGCATGGAGGTGAACATGGCCACACCGAAATCGAGGACACCATTAGTTTCTTCGGCGTACATCGTACGGTGTCGCCGGAATCGCAGATCGCTGTGGTCGGTGGAACCGGGAAGTACGAGCACGCCAAAGGGTACGCCACGGTCGAGACACTTATACACCAGGAGGATCAACACATAACCGATGGTGTGGATACAATCCTGCATTTCGATGTTTACCTGACGATCACCGAGTGATATCGGCCTTGCGGCGGATCACCGGGGGTTCATCGTTTCAACTCTGTAGCATATTATCGTGTGACGGCTGTGTGTTTCATGCATTTAGTACTGAAAATTTAATGGAAATATCCAAGGCTTACTTATATAAATGATAAAATTATGTTATTTTAGTATCGTATAATATGAACCTATTTAATGCATTACTGATAGAAGTGTATATTTTCAATAAATTAAATAAATTCTAAATAAATATTATCTTATAATTATTTTAAACTAATTAAAAAAATTTGTATAGTATATTCATTTCGGAGATTCATCAACAAAAATTCTTTGAATTAGCAAGTGGATTATATTATTTAATAAATTTTACTTAGTTTTTTTTTTCTTAAATTTATTAAGTGACTTAAGTGGTAAAAGGAAAAATTATTCTCTCTAGATGTCTCGAGTTCGAACAACTATATTTACATGACGCCTTTCAATTTTGCCGAATTGATATTCTTTCTACTAAACATCAGATCTTTATATCTTATATGTCATCATTAAATCAGTCACTATCAATCATCTCTTCTATCGTCGAGCTCCTATCGATTGTTTGCCCCTTTGTCGTCCCACATCATGATCCAAAACAAAATAATCATAGTACTTAATTACTAATTCCATCCTATGAAATCGTATTTTATCGAATCATCATTTGTTTGTCATTATCGATGAGACTATATCGTTGACCAAACTAAATCTGAGTCATCTAAACCTCCACTTATCGCTCGATCTTTGATAATTTAAAAGGATTTGAAGATTTAGGAATAGGAGGACGTAGGAATTTAAAGTTTTTTTTTCTTTGAGAAATTATAAAATTTTGAGTTTTTTAGAAATTTTAAATTTTAGTTTTTAAAAAAAAAAATATTAATAAGAAATTTATATAAATGTCAAACAATTATAGTTAGATTTTTGGGTAAAGTACACAAATGGTACCTCTACTATAGGATACTATTTTATTGAATCGTTCGACTATTAAAAATTATAAAATGATGCATATTAAAACTTTAATATACTCTAATATCTAAAAAAACATTAGTTTAAGGTTTATATTTTTTGTTGTTGAATTCTTTAATGTAATATATATATATATATATATATATATCAAATGTTTTATATATTTTTTTCAAAAAAATATTTGTTCTTGAATGGATTAATAAAAATGACAGATGAAGAGAAAGGGGTGCATGAGGTTGATCAAAATTGATAGTTTAAGTATTAAAACGAGACAAATCGTGACCTACTTGAAATTGATTCGGTCAAAGCTCGATAAACACTTGAATCAAATTCTTAACGAGCCAAAACGAGCTACTTGATGCTCACGAGCAACTAAAAAAATAATGTATTAAAATTTTATTTTTAAAAAAAATTAAATTATTAATAATGTAAACATTTATGTGTTGATTTTTTTAAAATGCAATATAAAGTTTTTTATGTACTTAAGGTTTTGGTTCGGGTTTGAGCTTCAAACGAGTTAAGTTTAAGAATTTTTTATTTCGAGCTTCAATTCATGGTTTCGAGTTCGGGTCGAGCTTCAAAATTTTGGGCTCCCGAATTTTCGAACAGAGTCGAGCTTCATTTTAAAGTTTTCAAGTCGAGTTCAGTAATACTCGAACTCAACATGGCTCGTTTAGCCCTAGTTATAGCTATATGCTCAAGAACACTGAACAAATGAGTTCATACCAACTTTTCTTTTTCTGAAATTTCTATATATTTTTATTTTCAAACGCATTTGTTCGGATCCGAGGGTTGCTCATCAAGCATTCTTGCAGAACTGGAGAATGCAAATGTGAAGGAAAGAAGTATAGAAATGAATTTGTAGGTTTCCATAGCTACAAGTTCAGGATGATTTGCTTTAGTGCTTTTCTTTTCTGAATGGATTATATATATATATATAATTATATATATATATATATATATGGAGTTGTTGAAGTCTTTCTATAATCTCAACAAAAACATTAGATATAGAAAGTGGAGTAGTCCATATGGATCAGGTCAGATGGTGTTGATGAGTCAGCTAAAAGTGGTAAACCATATTCATTAACATGTATAAAAATTGCAGAATATAATTCTTTTTCTTGCAGAGCTCTTCACAGTCATCAATGGCAGTCCACAAATATTTACAGCAAATCGTTGAAAAGGAACACAATCATCTGGAAAAAAGAGGAAGAATATACATAGAATCTGCTTTCCTTTCGCATTTCCTTTCTTTGAGGAACAAACATTACAATAACATATGCATGCATACATTGAGTTTTCACACCAATGCAAAGAATGAACCAATACACTAACATGACTGACATAGACCAAATTTTTTTCCTACATACATCTCTCTCACTTTCTCAATGACCCGATAATACGACATTCAAATGCGAAAAATCGAAAAAAAAAAAAGAACAAGGCTTGCTTTTGGTTTTGATGATGCATGTAAAAATGTGACAAAACCATCTTTTGAAAAAAATCAAATCTATAAGGCTAACAAAGTAACAATCTCTGCTGCTAGTTCATCGATCAATGAATGCTCTATTTCTCTACCGATTGCTTCGATATCATATCCTAGGGATAACCATCCATCGTCTTTTCCGAAAACTTTCTCCGACGAGTCCTTTTCTTCATCTTTGGCCTCATTTTCTCGGCTAACCAACAACTTGTAAAGCTCTTCCACAAGTTCTCTCGAGTTCTGCGAATAGCTGAGCCTTCTTGCAACAGGTTTTGTCCACATGAGGACTCCTAAGCATGGCTGCAGAATTTCCATTAGACCTGAATTTATGCGGTCAAAAAGTAGTCTCCTATCCGGCCTCTTCCAAGATATCTGTTCACCATACTTCTTCTCTAGTGTCTCAAACACCGACAGGCTTATCGGAGTTTCTAGAGATTGACATCCGTTAAAGATTATATCCAGGTTTCTATCATGAAAACCTGCCTCGGTTAAGACATCGACCAAATAGAAGAAATCCCTACTCTCTGCAACTCCAAACAACTTTGTTGAATATTCATTTCCTTTATACCTAAAAGGCTCATCTACTACATCATTTTCATCGTCACTTGAGACAACCATTCCCAGTCCTTCAGAGTATTCTTCAATTGACTCCGATTTTATAAATTCGAGTTGCCGCTTCACATCTGTTAGTAAACGTGAATAAAAAAGTTAAAATAGATAAAATGTGGGACAAAAATCAAAGAGGTCAAGGAATCCTTCTGTTTTACTAACCATTTAAGCTGTCGGTGACACTCAAAAAGCACTTATAGCTCAATGAATTCCCTTCTAAGAATGGTGTTTCCAAAACCGAAACCGGACTGGGCTGATTAGCTGTCTCCAAGGTAGCTTGAAAATCAGGGTCTGTTCCGCATCTTCGGATATTTTCATTGATATATCTTCCTGCAAATATTACAGTGAAATCCAAAGAGAGTTACTAAAAGTTTGACGTATCGATTGCAAGATACAGTGCACATGTAATGCACACATCGACTGTATTTGCACATCCACATTTTGACAGTAATAAAGTAAATTACTAGATTATATCCTAAATTTCGTAATGCAGATTGATTACTATACCTAAAAAGCAATTAATACTAGTATTTGTTAATCCTATCAAACTAATTGGAAACTTAAAACAACATCGAACCTGTTGACTCCAAGCACCGGGGATACAGAAAGCAGAATTATGGTCTTTATCCGACATAGCGCAGTCTGTCGATACAAACTGGTGCTGGTTATGATTTCCGGTAGACTTGGCGGCATCATCCGGGGTTTCTACAGCAACCACCATATCAGAGACAATGCTTTGAGGTCCAGCCGAGTACATCTCAGGTACCACACAATCCTCAGAAGACAACTTCCTATCCTTGAAGTCATTCCATTGATCAACTGGAATGATTTCGTTTTCAGAAAACGTAGAATTTTCTTCTAGCAAGTGGTTCTTTTCTGATTCTAAGTGATTCTTTTCCGATTCTAGGTCTGGACTAGATTGAGACTGCTTGCAGTTGGGTTGCAAGTTTCTTTGTTTCGAACAATATTTCCCGCTGGGAACCTGCTTAACTGACTTCCTTATAGACCAAGGAAACACCGACCTAATAGTCAAATACGAATCAACATGTAAAGCTTTGGGGGTAGTCTTGGTTAGAGTACTTCCAACAGATGTAGAATATGATTGTGAGTTCAAGTCTCCAATGACACTGTTTTTCCAGCCATCTTTACTGCAAATGCCAAAAGGACCACGGAAGTTTGCACGTTTAGCATGATCGGGCAATGCAAGCATTTCACCAAGTGATCTGCTTCTGCCCCTACCCCCAAAAGCAAGTCCAATCTCCCGAAAGTCTTCACTCACCCTCCATCTTTCAAAGATTTGTTGCTTCGGTTCTCGAGCCACATGTGATCCGCCTAAGTCGTAACATGAGGGCTTGTCCCAGTTGTTCACATCAGAGTTACTTTGGGAAGAAACCATCAGGAACTCTGGCTCTTTTGTAAGACCTTGAGCACCACTGAATCCTAACCTTGGCGGCTCAAAAGAAGTTTCAGAGGAAGGGATAGATCTACGCGTGGAGGATTTTACACCATTGAAAAAGTTCTCCTTAACTCGAGCATGCGAATTTCCTTTTCCGTGACCAAGGAACCCTTCGTGTTTATTATCGGTTTCAGCCTCTACAGGCTTTGGTTTCAAAATGACAATTTTTCTAGAGGAAGGGCATCTTTCATTGTTTGATTCCAGATGAAATCTAGGAACCGTAGAAGTACTATCATGTCCGTATTCCCTTCGAGAATCTTTTACGAAACCATTCTCGAGTTTCTGAAGCACCTTAGGATTCTCTTGATCATAGAAATGCTTGGCGATCAGATAACCTGGTTTCTCGAAACCATGTTCAGAACAACCCTCTGTAGAATCCACAAATCCTGACCCTTTGACATGCTTTCGTTCCGGAGACGATCTTAAGTCTACTCTTCCCTTTTCTATCTCTACTGATTCTATTACTTCAAATGCATCCTTGAACCCCTTTGTCTCTTCAACACCGAACCAAAACGAACTGCGTTCACCGGAAGAGCACTTCTCCCAAGCGCCTATCGAAGCAGCTTTACACAGATAATTCTCCGAAAGCACTCTGTGAAGCTTTCTCTGCTCATTGACAGGTTGCCGAGGTTGGAGCTGATCAAGTCCCATTAATCTTGCAATCACACTCGACGTAGCTGGTTTAGATTCCGTTTTTCTCGACATCTCGTCTACACAAAGCAATTACTCCCTCAGTTCAATTGCATCCTCAAAATGAAAAAGTGCATCTGCAATCTGATACAAAGAAAACAAAACGAATTTCATAGAAATTCAGAATTTAATAAGAAAAAAACAAAAGATTAAAGCAGCAAAGAATTCAATTAAAGCAGTCATATGAGCATCTGATAAAGCCAAAATGAAAAAAAGGGAAAAAGGTTAATAGAAAACTCATAAATGGAAACAAAGTAGAACTAGGAGCAATAACTACATAAGAAACATCATCATTGAAAAGAACAACCTTTCTTTGTCAAAGTAATAATTAGAACATAGCATGAAAAAAAAGCTCAACCCCATTATTCCAAAAAAGGGGGATTCTTTTAATATTCGATCCAACCGATTAATCCGAATCGAATACCGGAGATGACACTCTAATCCAGTTTTTTACCTTCATAAAGGCGATATCCAAGCTTTCATCTTGCTTAAAAGACCTAATTACTCAACAATTCTAATCAAAATTCACGAAATAACAAGAAATGAAACTTCAATAAAAATAAAACCAATTTAATCCTGGTACTGTCAAGTAACAAGAACCCAACTTCAGCAAAAGCAAACGGCTGAAGTTTACCAAAAAAGGAAAGATCATACCTTTACTTTTCTCTGAAATAAGTTCTCTGAGTCTGACTTTAGGGTTTAGATGCTCAAGCCCATCAGAATCATTTTCATCTCACACTGATTGATAATTACAATTTTAAAAGAAGAAAGGTTAAAATAAGGGATCGAATGATTTTTTGTCTTGCGTATAATTCACGAAACAAAGAGACAAGCCGACATGCAGAACAAGTTGGTAGGTCAAACACCCTCTTTTAACAATGGAAAAAAAGGGGTCAAATTTTACACGCAAATATTCCTTAAAAAGAAGAAGAAAAAAGGTTCTGGGAAATGGGTTTTTAGAGATGAAATCGAAGATCGAAAGAGATGAAGAAATGGAGGATTGGATTTGGAAGAAAAAAGCAATGAAATTGATGGAAAGTGAGGTCTATTTGTATTTTGTAGGGAAATATCTTTCGCCTTCTTGTTGTCTTTTCGTTGCTACCCACAAATACGAAGTGTTGTTTATAGGCGGGTTTCCCGCCACCAAAAGAAATGGTCTTTCCTTCAATTTTTATTAATAAAATTTTGGCCTAATACAAAAATAAACGCTTAAATTTTACTTCGAAAAATTATTAAAAATTGATATCTAACGTTTATTTTACGTTACACTTTTAAGTGTTTATCGTTATATTTTTTATTTTTTAATAATAAAAATATTATTTTTAATAAAAAATAATTTATTTACAAATAACTCCAAACTTTTAATAAAATTATAAAATAACTCAAAAAAATAAAATATCTTATTTCAACCCCATTACCATGGTAGAACACTGGAAGAACACCGACAGAGCGACGAAGAGGATGAGTTTTGAGCAGAATTGGACGGTTGTTCGAATGGTAGTGAAGGAGTGGAATATGAACATCGGGATCAATCAAAATCGACGAAAAATAACAACGATGACTTAAAATCTGACTAAACTTCGAACATTTCTCCACAACAAACGGCAGTAGTTTACGACAAAAAGTCATTACAGGTTTAATTGAGGGTTGAGGCCGGTGCAGATTATGGTGACGGTGATGGTCACTATCGGTCGGCATAAAAAGGGAATGTGGGGGAGGGGAGAAGGCACGGGGTGGGGGTGAAGGTTGGGGTTCTACTGTGTGCTTTTTTATATACAAAAAAAAAAATATTTTTTTAACTAAATTCTCGATATTATTAAAATTTGACATGTGTCACTTAACAGTGATTTTTAACGGTTGACACCTAAATGTATAACTTTAGAAACATTAGACACCTAATTTCAGCAAAAATTATTTGAAATAAATTATTCGATTTTCAATAAAAAGATCATACTCTAAATTTCGATTCGAATCCACAAGTTTCATCACTATGACAACGTATAAGTAATTAAGTACCAATTTTGAGTACTGTGGGGTTGTTAATCATTCCCAAGCGTAACCGACTATCAATTCTTTAAAAATGAAGCTTCGATTAACGCAAATTAATTTTCGTCTTAAAAATGGTTTTTCTCAAAATTGTTTTAAAAGACATTTTTTAGGTATTCGACATACTTAATCTAAAGGTCGATAGTGACTCCTATCATCTTTTCAAAAATGTTGAATTTAACATTTTTATATGGTATTAAAAAATGGTGTCGACAATTATTAATAAAATATAGTATGACTAAGGGCAATATTCTCATATATATATATATATATATATATATATATATTTGTCTTACGGTTTCAAGGCTTTGTCTTGATTAATCTGGACCGAGTCGCGGCATACACCTGACTTTAGTAGGTGAGTCTCCCAACAGAAATTTTTTACATGCACAAAGACTCGAACTCGATTTTAAATAAAAGATAATTTTAGTGTGAGGAAGGAGATATCTTGTAAAGTATTAAAAGACATGTACCGAAGAGCAAATTTAAGGACCAAATGAATCTAAAAGAATTTCATGAGCAAATTAAGTATCTAAGATAAAATTTAATCTCGATTTTATGAATTTAATATGCTAAATTAAAATATTTTTTATAATACATTTTTATACTAGTATTTAATTTAATTATTAAAAATTATTTCAAAAATATTTAAACATATTAAAGATAAATTGAAAAAATTGCATTATCAGATTTACGTCTGACATCAGTCTGAGAACCAATAGGATGTCATATGTAAACGAACAAATGAACCATGTATCGGAAAAGCAAGCAATCGTGAAATCTTGAAGAATTATAGACCAATAATAAGACCAATGAAAGAAATTTACACCGAAAGTCTAAAAATATCGATAATTTTGATACATTTTACTAGAAAAAAGACTAAAAGAAAATATTATTTTAAATACGTTAAAATATTTATAAAAATTAATAAAATTGAACAACAATAAAATAAAAAATGACAGGGAATTGGTCGGGAAAAGACCACCACCACTGCCATTGATAGAAAATTTGTTATAAATTTACATCGAGAGTCCAAAAACATCGATAGTTATGTTATATTTCTGTCCGATGATTTAATTTGACAAAAAAAAAAGACTTGAAAATGGTAGGAGGCAACAGATAAACAATGATCGATTCGAAAAAGGCCAATTTACCAATTAATTATTAATTTTTTACTTTAATCATCGATATGTTAATTTTATAACAAATTATTTAACGATATAATTACTTCAATCAAGTTGTTTGTTGTTAATATTTAACGAATGAATTGATATAATTATTAATTGAGATTTTCGTTAATGGGTTAACATAAGTTAACGGTCAATAGATTGGAATCAAATGACCGATAATATAAGGGACCAACTCATACTTTCGTTAATGAATTAACATGAATTAACGATTAGTCAATTAAAATCAAAGAACCAATAATATAATGGACCAAAAACATTTTTTTAAGTTGATACTAAAATCTAATTATCAGCTCAGACTTTCGTTAATGAGTTAACATAAGTTAACGGTCAATAGATTAAACGGAAAGGACCGATAATATAAGGGACCAAAAACTTTTTGAATTGGTAACAAAAATTAAATAAATAAAAAATATAAGATACCACGCATATAATTTACCCAAGAATCTATGAACTTTGAGTCAGCTAGAAAATACCATTGTTAAGAGTAAACTACGTCATTGGTCACTGATGTTTAGTTAAGTGTTCGTTTTCACTATTAATGTTTGAAAAGTCACAAATCGGTCACTAACATATCATTTGTTAAAAAATAATGACTCGACGCCGTTAACAAATCGTTAACAAATCAACGGAATGCTGATGTGGCACATTAAATCAACTAATCCTCCTCCTCAAATCGGTCACTAACATATCATTTGTTAAAAAATAATGACTCGACGCCGTTAACAAATCGTTAACAAATCAACGGAATGCTGATGTGGCACATTAAATCAGCTAATCCTCCTCCTCCTCAAATCGGTCACTAACATATCATTTGTTAAAAAATAATCACTCGACGCCGTTAACAAATGAACGGAATGCTGATGTGGCACATTAAATCAGCTAATCCTCCTCCTCCTCCTCCTCCTCCTCCTCCTCCTCCTCCTCCTCCTCCTCCTCCTCCTCCTCCTCCTCTCCTCCTCCTCCTCCTCCTCCTCCTCCTCCTCCTCCTGCTGCTGCTGCTGCTGCTGCTGAACATTTAGCTTGTTGAGTTCCTCGTGGATATGAAAGCAAACGACAACAAGAGCCACGAACCATTTGAGCCATTTCTGCATTCAAAATACCAAAAGCTAAATGAACTAAGAAAATACTATGAACCAATGACTGTTTCACAACATGAACATTTAGCTTGTTGAGTTCCTCGTGGATATGAAAGCAAACGACAACAAGAGCCACGAACCATTTGAGCCATTTCTGCATTCAAAATACCAAAAACTAAATGAACTAAGAAAATACTATGAACCAATGCGGGTGAGTTGGGAAAGAAGCTAACAGTAAATTGCGACGTCAATTTAAATCTTTTATCAATTTTGAGGCAGTAAAGAAAAAGGGCAACTGCCTTTGTTCATGGCATAGGATAAAAAACAGATGGAGAAAGTTTCAAAGGAAAACTAAGTTGATTAATAGAAGAAATCCATTCCAAGTGATTTAAATAGTTATAAATAATTCACAAATACACCCATATGGGAGAGATACCAGATGGCGGTTTGTGGAGGAATGGATTGCCACCCTGGCGGTACCCCTTCTTCCTTCTGTTGTTCTCCATGTTCCCCTTCTTCCTTCTGTTGTTCTCCATCTGCTATTTTGCTACCTGTTTCCATCCGCCCGTTAACGTGTATGTATCAAGCAAAAACAGTCGGTTCATTGTATAAGATGCAAAAGCCGGCACGGCGTTGTTTGCCTTGGAATTACACTTTAGTGCAATTGGGGTTTTTGAGATTTATTATTGCCCAATGACAATAGTTTTATTACGGAAAGCGATCTGCTTGGCTCATTATCGAGTATAACCTTGTTGGGAAATATGTCCTTTACTTGTATGCACTGAAGAATCTTCCTCCTAGAAAAAAATAAGCCAGTATCGAAGAAGAAGATGAAGAGAGAGAGGCTGAAGCAAGGAGTTTCTGCACCATGAAGAAGAAGAAGATTCAAACCGCCAGTCAAACATATTAAATCAGCGGGTTTAACATATCACATCAGTATTCTGTTAGTGTAGTAATTATTTGTTAACGGCTGTTATCGTTGAGTGACTATTTTATAACAAACTATAATGTTAGTGAATATTTTGTAAAAAACGTTAACATAACCGATTTGTAACTTTTCAAATATGAGTGATGAAACATTTACACAAAAATAGTGACTGTTGACGTAGTTTACCTCATTGTTAACATGGACAATGACCTTTCATCGGCATTTATTCATTAGGTCCACGTTGCCCATTCAATTTACAATCAAAACCACATATGCTCCTTTTCCTTCAGATCATATTCTCTCTAAGGTTCACTTTCACTCTTTGATTGTATCTTTCTCAAGAAAATAATGGCTTTGGAGATCTGTGTTAAGGCTGCTGCTGGTGCCCCTTGTGTTCGTGGAGACTGTCTGCTCTCTCTATCACAATCTTGTAAAAAAAGTCACTTTTTTTTTCATTTTTGGGTGATTTTGATTCTGGGTTTTTTAGTTTGATTTCGTATTATGTTTTCCAGGTCCTTTTTGTCAAAGGGTTCTTCTCACTTTGGAGGAGAAGAAGGTTCCTTACAAGTTGCACCTTGTCAATCTCAGTGACGATCCCCAATGGTATATTGTTTGGAGTTGTTGCTGTAAATTTGCGATTTTGACTGTAAAAATATCAACTTCGTGATTTTTTTTATTTGGTTTAATAGGTTTTTGGAGATAAGTCCAGACACTTGCATACATGAGTATGCGGATATAACCCTCTATTTACGTAGAGGACCTATATCAGACACTTGCACCATATTCCGACTAACACAGGTTGCAATGGCATGGGGGCATGATCATACCCCTTATCTCATGTGACAAGAATATGCTTGTAAACATGGGTCATCCTCATACATCAGAGATGATAGCTAGATGGCTGTTAAGAGCTACTTGGACTTGTGTCGGTGTTTAATATATTTCGAAACTTTTGTGTATGCGGAGAATTCTTAGAGGATTATATTCTCGTGAGTATTTTCGAATGAGCTGGACATTTGCAGGCGATCTTCTCCCGGGATTCCTTCCTGAAGACGCAGGTCGTGAAGAAACACTTGATCACCGGATGGGCGCTGAAGGTCAATGCATGACCATTAGGTGTTTCAGAACATGTAAGCTATGGAGTGTGTTTGAGACTATGCTTAACTGTTCCAGTCATAATAAGTGTTGTGAACCATTATGTTATTACTTGTTAGCTTGATATTAACGTGCATAATACAATTTAGTTAGCATTGGACGCCAAAAGTTGTTAGTTAGTTAGAGAGGCTGTTAGCTTAACAGAATAGCAGTGTTTGCTATATAAGTGATGTATCAGTCATTGTTAAAGCAAGTATTGAATATATTCCTTTTCATATACAGTTTCTTAATATGGTATCTTTCACCATTAGTCTTGGGGTTTCTTGAATAACTTTTGCTGCGTGATTCTTGCTTGGTGTTTCAATGGATTCGTCCACAAGTACGGGCTTCTCTCACAAGAAAATCAGCGTTGTTCTTGATGAGATGAACTACCTTCTGTGGAAGCAGCAAATTCTGCTCACAGTAAGGAGTCACCGTCTTGAACGCATGTTGACTGGAGCTCTACAATCACTACCGGAGACTATTCTTGATGATACCGGTGCGATTCGTGTCAATGATGCATTTGAGGATTTTGTTGCGCAGGACAGTGCGCTTGCTTCGTGGCTCCTGTCAACCATTAGCCCTCATCTTCTTCCTCATTTTGTTGGTGCCGAATCTGCAACTGCAGTATGGAGTGTTGTGCAACAACTATTTGCCAGCAGATCCACGACGGCTGCTATGAGTTTGCCCTACAAGTTGCAGTCGCTAAGAAAGGGCAATGATAGCATGCGAGTGTATCTCACTCGTGTAAAAGAGGTGTAGACACCCGTTTTTGTCCGGGTCTTTTTTTTTAATATTATTATTATTACTATTATTATTATTAATTTACAAATATTACACTTTTGCAGGCTTAGAAGCCCAATTCAGATTACAAAGGCCCAATCTCGGAGCCCAACAACCCAGACCTACAGCCCAACAATCGACCCAAACCCGCTAGGGTTACCCATTCTCTGCCTCAGCGCCGCACCATCAAGACCGTCTGATCTGGACCCATCCAATGGTCCAGATCAAAGGCCATTTAGGTCTGAAACCCTTACCCCTTGTTCTGAGCCCTAACAGCTCAACCACCAGCCGTGTGGCCTTCCATCTCCCAACCGTGCTTGAGGTGTCGATGGTGAATCCCGAGCCGGTCGTCATCAGCAATCTGGTCACACAGTGAAGCAAATGTCATCAACAGTGTATCAAACTTACCCCAAATCTAAAAACCCATTAAAATAACACCCAAAAATCCCGAAAAATCTGGACTTTATTCACCCAAATCAGAGAAATCAAATCCTATCTACCTAGATATCATCATCATCTCACCAGAAATCCACATGCAACCATTATGAAAAGGGGGAACGAAAAGAAAAATACGAAGGAAGGATTCAGGAGGCCAGAAAAAAGAAAGAAAAGAGAAACCAGAGAGCATTAGGTGAGGAACCCATTCGGGGAAAAAACAAAAAAAAAAACTGAGAAAAAAACATATATTCGAGACAAAAAATAGATAAAGGGAGGAGATTTTACCTTTCTAGGGTCTTCATTAGAGTCCCTAACTGTTGAGTTTAGATTGAGAGGATGTTTCATGGCTCAAGGAGGTGGTTGCGGTGTTCTTCGAGCCTTATGAGGCTCGGTTGAACCATGGGTAACGGAGGGTGAGGAACTGGGGGTCTTTGGGGGTTTATTTAATCCTTGTGGCCACCGATCTACGGTGGCCAGGGAGCCCTTGGTGCTCTGTTCTCCTCGTGGCGAGGAAGCAAGAGGGAAAGGGGAGAGTATAAAGGGAGAGATGAGAGCGGATGAGAGAGGAAAATAAATGAGAAATAGGGTTTTAAAATCCTTATTGGGTCTTATAACCTACAAGCGAAACGGCGTCGTTTGATCAAGGGCGTCTGCGCGTCCGAAGAAGGGTATAACTACACTTTTAATCCCTGTGGCTTTGTAAACTCACCCAGCGTGTTTTCATATTTGGGGTAAATCCCTGTTTAGGTCCCTCCGCATTTTGTAATGTTGGATTATCTTTTATCAATGAAGTTTTTTTATTTTATTTGAGCTCTGATTTCATTTTTTTATAATTTAGTACTTTATTGCCTTTAAATACTCTTGTGTTTATATTTGAGTTTGGATCATTGTACTTTAGTTTGTTCATACTTATGTAGAATACTTTTCTTGCACGTTCATTATAATCATTGATCTTGTACATTATACCCGTTTCTGTGACTGTTTGAGTATGGTTTTAAAATTCGTAAATATTATATTTTAGTCACCATTTTATATGTTATTCCATTGTTTTCAATATTTGACTCTGGTAATGATGTTTATAAAGGTTCCATTTTAGTCACGAATGCAAGTTTCGATTTCATGTTTTGAGTTTTAAATTTCATAATTCTTTCATTTTGATCACTGAACGCAATTCCGGATCATTTTATTTCGAGCCACTCATTTTACAGTATTTATATTTTAACCATTGCCTTGTTATCATTCCAATTTTTGTTGATATATGATTTTGAGTGTGAAACTCATTATTCTTTTCATTTTGGCCACTGTTTGCTTACCATTGACTTTAGGATTAATGCTCTTGCATGTCTACTACTTTATATTACATTTCATGTTAGTCCATAACTCTGTTATAGGTGGAAATGAATCTATTCATGCTTTTAATTCTATGTTTAGCCTTGTATTTATTTTGGTCAGTATCTATGGTTTAGTGTTTAAAGTTTGGGGTTTATCATCCATTAGGGCCTTGTTGTTATGTTTCGGTTAGTTTTAATCCTTGAAATTATTGTATGAATTGTTTTGTGTTCCATTTTCATTGTAATTATATATGTATTTTTTACAGATTTAAATTAAGTTAAATTGTTTTGTATTCATATATTAACTTGGTTTGTTCAGTTTTTATTATTTTGTATTCTAAATCATCATGTTTGCAAATTATTACTTATGTCTCTAATATGTATGCATGAGTATATATTATGTTAATTTTTAACCTTACATATTTATGTATGTATTTGTTGGTTATTATAAATGCTTATTTATTAATTAAATTTTATTTCATATTTACTCGAATATTTTCAAGAATGCGAATTTGTAGAACGGGCGTGGAAAGTATCACTTGATCGAAGTGGTACAATCCGACACGATGTTCTAACGAAATGGGTTTTGAAATGAATGGATTTCATTTTAGTCAATTAATTCATTTTATTTCATGTTGAACAATGTAATGTATGTTTTTAAATAGCGATTTATTTTAGGCAAAGATCGATTTTCATTTTATATTTGATTCATGTTTTTTTTAATATCAATGAGAAGGGAATATTCTAATAATGATAAGAAATATTAGAGTTAGCTTTTCCGATGGAGGATTGCTAATTTTGATATTTCTTTTCAAGTTAAAGAATTTTCTCTATTTATTTAATTCGAATCAAATTAATCAATGTTCAATAAATGGATCACATTTTAATTTCATATTCGATTTATAAGTTCTGCCATTTACGACAACGTGTAAGCGACACAGTACCAGTTTTTGGGCGTTGTGGGGTGTTAATCCTTCCCTACACGTAACCGATTCCCGAATCCATTTAATCGAATCTTTGGTGACGCATACCAAATTTTGTCTTATAAAATGATTTTTTTAAAATTGTTTTAAAAGACGTTTTTAGGTATTCGACCTACCTAACCTAAAGGTCGATGGCGACTCTATTCAATTTATTCCAAATTAATTCCAAATTCCCCAATTTTTCTAAATTAAAGTCATAATTGTTTTTAAAACAATATTAAATTATTTTTTGAAAAATGGTTATGACAGCTTGGCGACTCCGCTGGGGACTTTTTTTAGAGAGTCAAGCTGTAGGTCGCTTACACATTGTCGTTGTGGTCGAAATTATGAGTTCAATTCTTTAGTTAACTTCTGATCCGTTTATTGAAATTTTTAATTGCTTCGTTTTTTTGTCATATTAGCATTTTATTTTTGGCTTTCAGCTTTGTCAAGATGTTATCATTTTTTTTCTTTGTTTTGTTTTCCTTTTGGGTCGAAGGTAGGTATGTTCCTCCTCACACACATCACTCGCATTGGCATAACATAAGCTCTAGACACGAGCTTCGATCCAAATTAGTTGGGGTGAATGCTTTACTCTCGTAAGAATTTATTCTTCGTATGAGTTTTAGCAAATAACCCATGGGATACATACCTTATACCTTCGTAGGGATTTATTCCTCGTACGGGTATAAGACAGTGAATCCCCTCGAATTGAACTCGTTCCGTTTGAAACCTGTAATGGGTGAGGATCGAGGGTCTGGCAGCCCAAGGGGGCACCGATATCAAGGACAATTCGAGTCCCTTTTTTCCGTTAGAGCCGAAACCAAGCATATAGTGAACCGTCGAACGATCACCCTAGGTATAGTCGTACCGAACCTTTGTCCGTCAGTAGGTACCCAAAATAGGTGTACACGAAGGAGGAACGATTCTAAACCTTAACCTTTTAAATTTGTAGAATATATTTTTTTCCGAATAAAGCATGCGAACTAGATACCATGCGGTTAGGACCAATTTCTTGAAAATAGATCATTTTGGGTAGATAGCATGTCCGGGTAGGATTGT